GAACGAATCTGGCAACATATTCCTTTGACCATTGTCAATGAGAAAAATATAAAATACACGTGCTTGCGCCGTTGAATACTGTTTGCCATAAGTTCATAACGTCTCACTTTAACCACTTTAACCTACGCTACATATATCGTAATATCGATTCCAACATCAAATCCATCTTTGTAGTGTTAAATCGTGTTATTTAATTCTTGCGATGCCCCGCGCAATTCTTGATCATCCGAGGTAGTTAAATTTTCATTTCGCCCGCGGTTTATCTGAAAATGTTACAGTAGCTTTGGAACATTACTTTGTTAAGACTTTGAAACAAGTGATCTCTTTCAGGTGTATTTGGTCTATTTTACTGGCTTAACCGAATTATGATTGGTTACATGTTTTGATGCCATCAAAGATATATTTCGATTGGCTGAAAGATAATTGGTCATGAGATGTGCACGTGTACGCTTTGCCAATACAAAGATGACCTTTGATACAAATGACAGCTGCGGGTCTGTGACCTTTGTACCGCACGCAAAATATTCAAATCGATTGTCATATAAATTAGACTAAATTTGTGGACAGCATTGCCCATTAACTTAAATTTATAATATATATAAATTAGCTTAAACTCCTAAATTGTAAACTAGTTTCATATTAATCTGACACTGCAATCGAGTAACGAAAAATTCGTTGGCTCGAGCGGGATTTGAAGACTTTGAACTCCCATCTTCGGGTATCTAGACCGCCGCTCTACCTATTGAGCTATCTAGTCAACAGGGATTGGTAGCGAGTCTTATCCAATTTAAGTGCACGAAATATTTTCGTGACGACTTAACGCTTGTCTTAGAGGACGCGCAGTGTTTCAATTCTGTTTCAGAACCATCCTCAGAGATACTAAAAACTAGTTTTATATTAATCTCTGATCACACTCACCTTTAACTTGGGGCCTGCATTTGAGTAAAGCTTGATTGAGTGATATACGTTTCTTGAGCCACACTCTCTTGTACACAGCGATACCAGCATTGATTGATAAGTGGGTAAACAGATTAGACCAAAAAGCGGGAATGAACCAGGCATTAAAATAGCGTGTCCTTGTACACACTTTGTGTCCTTGTAAAAGGCGAATGTGCCCTTGTAAATTGAAAAGTGTGTACTTGAAAATATATTAAACTAAAAATATATTAATGTAATCCACGCAAAATGGCGAAAGATTTTGCAAATTCTGTTCTCAGAACTCTGGAAATGCCATTTCAGAGACCCCTTAAAAGCTCGCGTCTTCGACGCTAAACTTGTACTGGCTTCGCCACTCGTCCTCGTGAGTCTGCGCATTAATTTATACCAAAAATACGCCTCTGAAGTGAAGGTGTGTCCTTGTAAAAGTATGTCCTTGTAAAAATTCCGTATTTTAATGCCTGGAATGAACGGACATTAAATTATACTAATATTGTGACAGCTATATATATGTGGGAGAACAATTCCGAACCAGGGACATGTGTTAACGCAAAATTGTTTTCGTAGTCTACTAGACATGTAATCGGGCGAAAGAAATCTGCGTTTAATGAAAGTGCGTACCCCATCCTTGCAGATATACAACTTTTGTTGACACTTCGGTGAATGCATGCAATAGGTACATTCTAGTTATATCATGTGGAAACTTGTGCAAATTTGACAGGTCGCGAATATATTAAGTTCTTCCAAGTTTTTTTCGTAGTATTTAGGGTTAGGGCAATCTTAATATAAATGAATAAATTATCGTAATCTTTAGGAAACAATGACATCAGTGCGGACCAATCAAAATCGAGGAACCGTCGAGCTGTTTGCGGCTCTATGCAGTTCAATCCAACATCCAGCGTATGCTGCGGGGGGAGAATTCTGTCAATTGGGATTGGTAGGAGCTCCTGCTGTGGAACCCAAAATTTCAGTCCAACATCCAGCGTATGCTGTGGAGGGAGAATCCAGTCAATTGGGATTGGTAGGAGCTCCTGCTGTGGAACCCAAAATTTCAGTCCAACATCCAGCGCATGCTGCGGGGGGAGAATTCTGTCAATTGGGATTGGTAGGAGCTCCTGCTGTGGAACCCAAAATTTCAATCCAACATCCAGCGTATGCTGTGGAGGCATAATCCGGTCAATAGGGATTGGTAGGAGCTCCTGCTGTGGAACCCAAAATTTCAGTCCAACATCCAGCGTATGCTGTGGAGGGAGAATCCAGTCAATTGGGATTGGTAGGAGCTCCTGCTGTGGAACCCAAAATTTCAATCCAACATCCAGCGTATGCTGTGGAGGGAGAATCCAGTCAATTGGGATTGGTAGGAGCTCCTGCTGTGGAACCCAAAATTTCAATCCAACATCCAGCGTATGCTGTGGAGGCATAATCCGGTCAATAGGGATTGGTAGGAGCTCCTGCTGCGGAACCCAAAATTTCAATCCAACATCCAGCGTATGCTGTGGAGGGAGAATCCAGTCAATTGGGATTGGTAGGAGCTCCTGCTGTGGAAATCAAAATTTCAATCCAACATTGAACTCGTGTTGTAATGGCAGAATCTGCTGATGAGATAGCACAAGCATGATATGAAGTTAACATGTACCAGCCATTTAGGCATAGTCAAATAGACTGCAACATGTATAATAACACTTCATCGAACTTCAGATATGGACATAGAATAAAAGTTCGTAGGATTTGTCAGATTCGATTTCCTCTTAGTTATAAAAATGTCTTGAAGCTTAGAAAAAATAAATGTATTGAACTAGCTATATGTGTATGATTCAGTAATTGCTTACTTTGTTTATAGTTTACTGAAAATGTCATTGCATGCATTTTCTAAATTTATTGTATAGTTTAGCAACTTTAGCGCAAAATACACATGCATATGAATGTATATTTTATTGGTGAAAACGAAGCAATCTGATTGGCTGAGGAGCCTTTTCAGAGCAGTCTGGGTTTTTTCATCCGGTCCGCTCTGAAACACAACATACCCGCTCTGGTTTTCGCGCCAAAACCGAGGAGTGAAACAATTCTTAAACTAAAAAATCTGGCCAAAAAGTTTGAAAAACCTAGCCTAACGATATAGTCAGAATACAACGAAAATGAATTGCATCAAGCTCTAAAAACTTCATATAGTAAGCACGATGTACACAAGAATTGAAAATATTTATGAGAAAAATGAGACTGAAAGTCAGAAAGTTATGTGACATGTATAAAACCTACGCCGAAAAAGCTTTTTTAAATGCTCATGTATTCCGCCACTTAAAAGCTAAAAAGTTAGTTTAAACAGATATTTTAAAAGAAATGTTTCCCCCTCAAACATGCAATCTTAAAAGAAGGCAGTGAAAACAGGTCATGTTTTTTTGGTATAAAGTAATTTTTAAACTTTGCCCTCTCCCCCCCCCCCTTATACAATGTTGGTATTTAGGTGATATGTGCTGCAAATCCACTTTACCTGAACCACATTATTTCGGGGGGGGGGGGGGTTAATGTAAATAGTTGCTTCGATTGAAAAATGCTCACATTTTCATTACATATTTTCAAATATGGGTGTATTTTTCGAAAAGTCTACAGATGTTTTTTCCAAGATTCTCTGAAAAAAATACATTGGATAATCCTTTTACGAAGTTAATTGTACATTCATTTTCAACACAACATTTTCAAATTAAAAAGGACTCTATATTAAGAACATAATTCAGGGTTTGATTAAACTTCTTGGAATGCCAGGGTGGTTGGTAGACGGGGGGTGTATTGTAAATGTTCTGTTTTAAGGCAAATTGTGGTTAATTTATTCGGTAAGACTGCATTGACAAAAATTGTGGCAGTTAATAACAGGAAACTATCAGAGGGACAGATATATATGGGATATATAGATTATTACATAGTAGAATATTTCATGACCATTACATCTTTTCACATATTTTGTCAATCATTAAAATTTTATAGTGCAACATTGTACCTATAAAGCATGTTTTAATATGGTTTCCATATGGTTTTAACGTATTACATATTATTACATAATACAATATTCCATGACCATTACATTTTTTCACATATTTTGTCAATCTTTAAAATTTTATAGTGCTGGGGCCGGTTGTACGAAGGCTGGACAACGCTATCCACCGGATAGTGATTTTTCAAGCTTTGTTACTCAGTCGTTGATTGGTATAACTCGTATTAAAGTTTAGTATTTATATGTTAAATGTTTTTTATACTTCTTGTGTGTCTATATCCGTTGTTTCACAGTTTTTTAAGCATTTTACAAAGGTTGAAAAAATCACTATCCGGTGGATAGCGCTATCCGACCTTCGTACAACCGGCCCAGCATTGTACCTATAAAGCATGTTTTAATATGGTTTCAATATGGTATCCAAGTTACAACATGTTACACCTACCTTTTAAAAAATCTAGTTCCCTTTAAAAAATATAGGTGTAACATGCCAAGAACTATAGTGAAATATAGTAATTTTAGTGCAATTTGTAGTGTAAGATGTAGTGTAATATGATGTAACATATGATGTAGCTAACATGTAGAGATTGAGATTTGAAAAGAATGCCGAAGAAATATGGCTGGTTTGTAGAATTATATCTGGGACACGTGATTTTTTATATAATACTGCTTTGAATATATGAATAAATAAAGTATGCCGGTTTTCAGTATACTTATAGCCACGGTTTTAAAGCACTTGATTAGAAAAGCACATTTGGGTTAGGCGTGCCGTGGTTTATGTACTCATAGGCGTACGGGAAGGACGTTTTCAAAGGGGGCAGTTGAAAGTTTCCCGAATTTTTATGGATGATTGTAATGAAATTACCTGAATTTAACCTATTTTCTGATAATTCATGAGTCCGAATTTTCTTGATTCTTCCTTGCATTTGCCCAAAGTTTCCATGGTTTTCAAAACAAATTTTTTTTTTGGGGGGGGGGCTTCCCCCTATCTCGTACGCCTATGTATGTACTTCGCATACTTCACAAAGGTATTAGAGTGGTTCAGATTTGACTTCTACTGCCACAATCTCTTACAGGCATGTTTTATACGCATTTGATTGGTTAATCGGGTAAAAAAAAGGCATCTGATTGGCTACGAATTCTTATAAAGGTGCAATGAAAGTAATAAGTGGTAATAAGTGATATTCAACAAAAATGTATTTGTACTTGACGAGCACATACTGTGCGTGTCTTTTTGGTTTTCCTGGAGGCCCTTGAAAGAGGAATGCAGGTTGACGCCAGCGTATTGATACGACTGATCAGTCTAAACATAGGAAAATAACATAAAATTACAAATGCGTCCTATACTGTTTTTCGTAAGTTTTTAAAGAATACCAGAAATGATAGTCATGAACTAGCCAATGAGACTTTAATTTTAACAAGTATGAAAAGCATAAAAAGTAGGATCAAATCCAAATTGTAAAAACGGTTTCGATCAAACGCCTTAAAATGCTTTTTATTATTCAGTTATTTAAATGCATTCAATTTTTCGTGCGTACATGATAATGAAAAGCGCATGACTGCATGAAAAGCAGTCTTAAGGCGGTTTTCCAGTCCTCGCACGAAGCTCCTCGCAGCTCGTTACGAGTGCTTGCCAACCTCGTTCCCAGGGCTTTTCCCTTTTCGTCATTGGGAAGGCTGGAAAAGGCCCCGAGATCGGCTGGTCACGTGACCTCAAAATACCCACATTTTGTGGGTATTTTGGATCTGCATAAATTATCATAAAATATTTTTAAATTTCAATATGGCGGCGCTACGTGTAGTGGACAAGTTTTACGTGTTACGGCAAATAGGAATTGCACTGAATAGCGCCAACTTCACATCTTTAAATTTAAAGCCACTTCAAGTAAAGTGCTTGGAGTACCTTTTGGAGGGTAAAGACGTGATCTACATAATCCCTTCGACTTCGTATCGTTCTCAGCTCAGTCACACTTATTCCACACGAAAGTTCCACTTTCTGACTAAGTTCCGGCCTTCTTTAGATTCGCAACAAAGCCTACAAACAGGATTTCAGCCATTTATTAACACAATTTTGAAATAATTTATATAGAAATTTGCGAAAGTTATGCATAAATTTAAAAATGCATCTTACCAATCAGAAGCCAGAACCGACCAACCGATCCCAGGGCCTTTTCCCGCCTTCCCAATAACAAAAAGGGAAAAGCCCTGGGAACGAGGTTGGAGTGCTTGCATCTAATTAAAATGAACTGTTTAGCATTATGATTGGATGAAAGTGCTCATGCATCACTCGTAGCGAGCTGCGAGGAGCTTCGTGCGAGGACTGGAAATCCGCCTTTAGACAGGCATTACGACATTATGGAGGCTGTGTCGTGGTTACGAACAACTCATTTCAAAGTGCATAGCAAAGAAAAACCTGTAATAACTGTATAATTGTATTCACCAGGCCTCGCACGATTTAATATTAACGTTGTCATTCTACCCTGCATTTAGAAAATATCTGAACAGGTCAGTAAGCCAAGTCCGTTTTTACTTTTGCAATATTTAAGCTGTTCAAGAATGCTCTCGTATCTTGCTCATGTACATTGAAGTTCGCAAGCATTTGAAACCGTTAAAGTTTTCCTCACTTTTATAATGTTTTCAATTGGTATCCAAACCGACATTGTATTAGTTAAGCCCGCGGATCAAACGAGGATGCATGCATAAGAGTGCATGAGAGTTGACAGTTACGCAATCTTGGTTAGCTGTTCTCAATGCTTTCCCAACACAGTCATGTTTATTTATTTATTTATTTAGCTTTGCCAACCAGGGCAGAGTCACCACAACAGCATATGCCAATTACTGCATGTGGGCCCTTTTACCTCACCCACCCTGTCAACTTTCCCTGTGGGAGGAACTCGGCAGAGCCTTGACTGAGAAAGTTCTCGCTGAGGCTTGAACCTGCGCCCCACGCCCCACATGAATGTTACTTGAGTTAGAACGTATAGTTGAAACATTCTCCAAACACTCGATCACCTTCATTTTGTTAATCTAGAGCTTGAAATGTCCCCTGTAACAATTTGGGACGGGCATCTTTTATCAACTCTCATTTACGTTTGATCTGGGCTTCAGTCTATTCCTAGGTTTCATGCGTAACTAAGATATCATTACCATATTATTGGGCCCAGTAGATGAAACCACGTATACATCAAAACACGACATAAAAGAGTTGTTCTTTAATTTAATAATAAGTGCCGTTACAATTGTGAGTTACAATCTAGATTTTAAAATGCAGTGGTGATTATTAGGTTATTAAATTGTCCGCATATTATCTTGCATAAAGTCGAGACAGGGTGCACACAAAGTTTGTTACATATTATTAAAATTTTGTTATTACCATTATTATTACGAATATAAAAATTTGCTTAAGTTGGAGATGAAGCTATCGGAATGTCAAATGATTATTATCTCTAAGAGTTTATATAAAGGTGCAAATGAGTCATTAAATGTGACAATAATTGGTGTTCAGTAGTTGCTGAAAACAAAGATGAGTTCATATTTAACGAGTGCATACTGCGCATGTCAGCTCATGTCCTGCGATATAAGGCTTGCAGGGAAGTGAACCACATTCTCCTTCAACAAAATAGAACAAAGCGCCGTCAAGATTAGCGTGGGTTCCTCGCGTGTAATCAGGAGCTTCATCCACGCATGTATACATTGCACGATGGTGATTGTGCCTTTCGGCCATCAAGTATCCTTTGTACTCGCGTGTCCATCCCGAGGGGCAAACATTACGACCTGGTACCATCATTTGAGAAGCACGTTTGGTCACATGACACACTGCACATGGAACATCGTGGTCGTGCAGACTGCTGGGATATATGCCAACAGAGAAAGTTTGATATTCTGCGCCAAAAATTCGTGAACGATCATCTTGATAACTAGATTGATATTTTGCATAGATTGGATCACGTGTCAAACATACATAATTAGAACCACCACCCCTGTGATTATAATGAGATCCTCCGACATAACCTAAAAATGAACAAAAGATAGAATATTGCATTGTCAAAATATAAAGGTGGCATGGATAGCTCGGCACAATATATATCTAACATGTTGAAAAATATACACACGTAAAAACGCACAAGTTGTAACAAGTCTGCAAACAAGTTGTTACACGTCTGTTCACAAGCTATGAACAAGTTGTGCTCGCACTGCTTGTTCCCAGTTTGTTGTAACAAGTTTGAAACAAACTGTTAACAACTTGTAACAAGCTTGATGGCATTATCAGCCTTGTTACAAAATTGTGCTAACAAGTTTGTTACAGCCATGATATAACAAGGATGTTACAAGGTTTGTCAACACAAGGTTGTAACAATCTTGTTATATCAAGCATGTCATAGACTTGTCAGAACAACCTTGCAACAAGTCTGATAATTTCGACAAGGTTGTTACAAGTTGTCAACAAGTTGTTCCAAACCTGTTGACAACTTGTGACAAGCAGTGCGAATACATCTTGTTAACAGCTTGTGAACAGACTTGTAACAAACTTGTGCGTTTTTGCGTGTGTAAAGGGCACTCAGAGACTGCATATACCTCCGCAAGCGTATGAATAAGTATCATGCATAAATTATACAATGGGCTAATTACTCATTCAGTTTACTTTGTGCGGCAAAACAAGATAATTTCTCATCCGACTTTCATTGAAATTTAACAAAAATTTGATCAATTTGTCCATTAACAATGTACATTAATCCCACCAATTGTCTTATTAATACGTTTGATATATTTTGGTTTATCGTGCTGACAGAGTAACAAATAGACATACAGTTCTATTGTTCCGAGCGAGAATTTCTAAATTTCTGGTCGATTTATAAATTGCCCGTTGGCAAGGGTCAAACCCTTTTGTTTCCCTGACGACTACGCATTAGGCAAGTGCCGCACGGATGTAAATCACACACACCCATTCAAATGCGGATGGAAACATAACATCCTGGTGCAGGTAAAATTAATATTTTGATCTACTAAATTTGGAATTTATATTCTGCCCCTTTCCATTCATATTAGTAGAAGTCTCTTTGTGACAAGAAACAAACAGAATATTATTACCTTCATAGACCAATGTAGCTCCAGTATTTGGACAGGTCTTTTTTCCCCACCGAATATAAGCCACTCCAACTTTTCCAGGTTCACCTTGTATTCCCTTGGGACCTTGAGACCCTGTTGATCCACTTTTACCTCGAACTCCTGGTTCACCTGGTAAAAGGTAAAATAGGAGCTTTCTAAGTACATGATGTGCCAGGCTTACATGCACATTGGGTTTATGAAGGATATATATTTCAGTATTTTTTTTGTTTTTACACTCTGTCAGTTTGAATTACCAAACCTAACTTTTAAGAGTTTTTCAGTTTTCTTGCAGCCTCACGGAAAAATTTCGTACGTTTTACCGTTATATTTTACATTGAAAAGTATTGAAAGTCAAATAACATAAAACTACATTCTAGATTTTGACAATCCAACTATCCAAGCCAAGCCAAGTCAGAAGTAATTTATTGCAAGTTCAAGTCAAGTTACAAGTCATTCAATCCGAGTAGCAATTCATGTTTGAAAATCATTCTGTACAGTTCTTTTTACCTTGAACTGGGAGTCACCCATTATAATTATCCATGAGTCCGGGCGAAAGCCTGGAGCAAGGATACTAATTCCCTCGGCTGTTTAATACAACCATGGAAAAAGAAAGCATTAGCGGAGTCTAAAGTTGATCAATAATCGCTGTTTGATGGTTAATCAATGTTTTTAAGGTATTTGACTTAATAGAAAAACTGCAATATTTGGGCGGTCCATGTCTGGCTCATAGATATCTTATATACACTAGATAGTGCATCTAATTATTCTGCAATTCAAAAATTGAAGCCGTGATTGCATACTCAGGATATTCCCATGAAATGAGAAGACTCGTATGTTTTCTATTTCTTAAACAGGGAACTTAAACATTAAGTTAAACCTATTCCAAACACATTTTCAAACTACTCAAATGATGAAAGTATTGTTGTTTTTTAAGCGTTTATTAGCGAGTAGGAAGCTCCAACATGGCCGCCATCTATTCAAATAGAGGTAAACGCTGGAATTGCTAAAAGCGATGCGCTATCTAGTTTATATAATATATCTATGGTCTGGTTCTATTAACTTGGAAAGTTTAAAGATGGTTTGGAACGCATTGATCGTTTGTTGTAATTTGGTGTTTCGGCTTTATTAAAGTTGGTAAGAGACAGGGATTTCTATTGTTTCACAATGTGAATGTAATGTGTAGTTATAGGACTTAATTTGGGACTCCTGGCCTCAGTCCTGTTGTCTGTACCTTCAATCGTTTTCTTTATTGTAAAGTTTATAAATAAATGAATAAATGTTTGGTTGATTCATTCAGTGTTGGCCAGTTACAAGTACTTCATGTTAAATTTATGTTTGGAATATATATAGGCGAGGAGTTGCTGCATGCATGTATTTCTAGTATATTAATTTAATATATTATACATTACAAGCTCTCGCCATCCTCGTCCCTAGGGCCTCTCGGTTGCGCGCGTCGTCCCTAGGCCCTGGGACACACGGAATCGGAGGTGCAAGAAATCTTGCAGTAGTTTAAAACACACATGCTCTTGAATTGGGACGCCTTAGTACCCGTAACAATTTTCACAGTGATGTATTACGAAGAAACGAAGTATTTGTGTTGACATAATTATGTTGATAGAATAATTTTGCGTAGCGAAAATTGCTCAACTTCTGCGAAATAACAGTTCTCTGAGAAGCCAATCAGATCTCTCCCTTTAGTCGTCTAACCCAGAGCCTAGAGTGACAGAGTGAAAATGGCTCTGGGGACGAGAATGAGCTCTCAGTCAAAGCGTAAAAAGCCAATCTGTCTGCACTAGTCACTATACATCGGTGTATTTCCGGTTGCAAATTGTAGAAAAGTGAATTTTCAAAGTCAAATAAAAAAAATTGCGACTCCTAGTCACGTGACTTGAGTCTGCAACTCTGATTCAAGTTTATAAGCATCGGAAATTAAAATACCTTTGGCTCCCTGTGAACCATCCCTTCCGTCCCTGCCATTTCTTCCTGGACTTCCGGCAGTGCCATCTTTTCCTGCTTTGCCTGAACTACCTGGAATCCCATCTCTTCCTGGTTTTCCTGGAGGTCCTCGAAGAAGGAATGCAGGTTGACGACCCGCATATTGATACGACTGATTCAGTCTGAACATAGGAAATTAATATAAAACAACATTCCTGTCCGTTGTTATTCGCAAGTATTAAAGAATACAAGAAATCATATCATGCATAGAACTATGCAGAGGTTGGCAATTTGAACAAATTGTAGAAGGATTTTGTCGATAGAAATTTTGAGTGAAAATCTTATACAGTTGTTAGACCTAAAACCAGGGCCAGTTGTGTATAATGCCACCATATCGGATCTGCCAACTAGACTCTCTAGCTCAGTTGGTTAGAGCGCTGCACCGGAAAGGCCGAGCCACAGGTTCGATTTCTGGCAGAGGGCCTATAGTTTAATTTTCCTTCAAACACTCGTTAATAAATTCTTATAGTTTCTTATTAACCGAACGCGAGGTATGTACAGAGAAATATCGGACCAAGGTTTTTTGTACAGACCTAGCCCGTAGAGCGGGGGTTGTACTGAAAAGTCCGAGGTCCGATTTTTCTCTGTAGATACCGAGCAAGCGAGGTTAATAAAAAGTTTATTATTTGGCATTTATAGATAATATTACTTGAAACAGACAAGAAATTCAAGATTTGAAATGCATATTAGTAGCGTGGTACACATTTGGTCGACGAAAACAAAAAATACCAATATTGGTTCACATATTGGAATACTGTAATGTAATTATATTGTCACTCGTCTGAGTTGTTGGAATCCCCGTCGCTGCGTTAATAACTATACCTATCCATACAATAATAAGCCCATGGGCTTATACACGCAGATGCGTATACTCGGGTGGGTCTATATTCGGAAGTTTACAGTGTAAAAACCATAAGGCAAGATAAAACGGTGTTGCTCAAACACTGATTATCAAGATATGCATCCCAAAATTAACATCGCCGTCATCAATTTGAAATATACGGTTCAAAATTTCCTAGCTAAGCATAGCTGAGAATTCTGCATGCAGTGGGATTACACTTCCATGCACCCCTAGCAAGATGACCAGGTTCAGCCTTAATGCAAATTCACATGTTAGGCCTATGTAAACAGGCTATTTTTCATTAATTTGTCAGTGAAGATCGTCCTACCTTCCTTCCAGCTTTTCTAGTTTTATCATTGCCTTCTTAATATCAGTCGCTTCTGTTCCACGTTTGCTTCGTCTTGGACCGTGCTCGTGTGGGTTGATTCTCAAAGATTTAGAGTCCAAAATCTTTTCTTCTTCCAGAGCGTTCAACCTGTTGTTTAACGCTTTCAAAGAAGCGAAGTTCTTTGCAAACAAAGCAAATTGAGCAACGACAAACACACATAAAACAAGCAAAAGTGCTTTCATGACAAAATTCGAATGATGCTTGAATGTTTCGGGTTGTTTGCCGTTTTTTTCCATCGTTTTAGCAATCAATAGTCGTTTTTTATTTTCTCTCAATTTATTGACAAACGTTCGGCTTGGTATCTCAGCATAAAATGAGAAGGAAACAAAACGTTTTGATATACATATTCACATAAATTGAATAAAACCAGGCAGCGTGGCTAAACACGAAAAAACAAGAATAAAACTGTTATTATATTGAAACATAAGGAGACAAAAGACTAGGCCAAATTTTGACTTTTTTATTATTCACATTAGTTGTTGCAGAAGATTAGTTTCATTATTCTGTGACTATCTTGTCAAGGTGTGTTAAAGTAGAAATTTCAAGTTATTTTAGCTAGATTTATATCATCATTAGATCGACTGCAAATAAGCGCACGTAGGGGTTTGTCGTATAGTTATTATTTTACCGATGCATTGTAACTGATATACCGTAGATATACAGTATTCATCAAGTTTCGCGTTAAACAATAATACTTTGTAGTTTCTGTGACATATATTTTTGTTCATTTGCACTTTCGAAAAGCTTTCGCAGACCGGCTACTTGTTTGCAAATGATTGGCTTGGCCAAAATTACAAAAGTCTAAAAATAGTGACTCCCCCTAAAACGTGACAGGTATAATTTTGCGACTATTATGTCAAGGTGTTAAACTTGAAATTTTAAGTTGTTTTTTGCTAAATTTAATTATACTATTTAAGTCTAATCATATATTCAGCCTTGCGCTATTAACATTGTAGGCTCATGACAATAGGCAAAAGTTGGGGGTCTATCATAATTATAAACATGTTATTATTTCAGCGCTATTTCAAAGTGCACGACAATCAATGATACTTAATTTGCCGTCTAATTTGTGTCGTATAGTACAAAACGTATTCATACTGTATATACTATAATTGTTGAAGGGATTTGTCGATGGAATTTTCGAGTGGAATTGTCATACATAACTGCTCCTCCTGGTTAGGTTCAAAAATGTATAAAAATTCATTCTACTCGAAATTCCCGTTTACAAATCCCTTCAACAAATGCCGAGATGGTTCGGACGATCGAGTGCATCCCAAAATCCTGATATATACGTAATATAGCATTTAATCTCGCGATGCACCGCACGCGATTTTACTTGAAACATATATTGACGAATCTATAACAGGCCTGCATGGCCAATATCAAGAATTCTCCAGCTAGAACCGTCAACATGCATGAGCTACGGCCGTCGCGACATGCAAGAATTCCCAGGGACGCCGGAACTGGGGGGGGGGCAGGAGGGGCAGCTGCCCCTCTTGCCTTTTGCTGGGAGGGGCAAGGGGGGCAGAAGTGCCCTTTGAGTTATGAAATACTACCTAATAAATCACAATTCCAGTGATGCTTTTTCGGCAAAATCATGAGGTGTGATCTTGAATGTGACCTGATTAAGTGCGTTTGCTTTCATATATTGGCAAGTCAACACATAATTGTAAGATTATCTTCACTGGAGTCTGTAGAGGTGCCCTTTGGTGTGCGTTTGCCCCCCTTGCCTTTTTATCGTTCCGGCGTCCCTGAGAATTCCCCAGCTACGACCCATGGCGTGGACCTATACCTACGGGCAAATGTGTAATTCTTTATACCCGAATTGCGACCTATTTTAACATAAAATACTGTATAGAATTACTGAAAATAAAATGGTCTTCACACTAATCTACTTAGAAAAAGACCATGCAATCGGTACAAGTCTTTCCCCTCCTCTTCAGACGAGGGCCGCTAGAATATTGGAAAGGATTGCCTCCATGCACCCTCTCCAGGAGAACAATCTCGATTTAAAAATGCAGTGGTAGATTATTTGGTCATTAAATTTTCTACATAATTATTATCTTCCATAAAGATTATTAAAGACGAAACAGCGTGCCTGGTTGTAAAGTTATATAAGAAGTTATATATTTTTAAAGTTATATAAGAAAATTGTTCTTTAATTAATATTAAGTGCAGTTACAATTGTGAGTTACAATCGAGATTTAAAAATGCAGTGGTAGATTATTTGTTTATTATATTGTCCGCATATTTATCTTCCATAAAGGCGAGACAACATGCACTGGTTATACAGTTGGTTACATATTATTACATTATTGTTTAAATTACATGCAAATTTTATTATAAATATGATAATTTGGTTAAAGTAAGACATGAAGTTGTCGCAGTGTCAAGATTAAACATATTATCTTTAAGAGTTTATATAACGGTGCAAATGAGTATAAATGTGACAATAATTAGTGTTCAGTAGTTGCTGAAGTCAAAGATGAGTTAACTAGTGCAAACTGCACATGTCAGCTCATGCCTGCGACATAAGCCATGCAGGGAGGTGACCCACACTGCCCTTCAACAAAATAAAACAAAGCGCCGTCATGCATGATTACCGTGGGTTCCTCGCGTATAATTAGGAGCTTCATCCAGTTCAACTCCGCCATCAAGTAATATTCTTTGTACTCGCATGTCCATCCCGTGGGACACACGTTACGACCTGGTATCATCCTTTGTGAAGCGCGTTTGGTCACATGACACACAACACACAACACAAGGGACATCGTGGTTGTGTAGACTGCTGGGATATGTGCCAGCAGAGTATGTTTGATATTCTGCCCCAACGACCGTCTTGATAACCAGATTGATATTTTGCATAGATGGGATCACGTGTCAAACATACGTAATTAGAACGAGCACCCTTGTGAGAATAATGAGATCCTCCGACATAACCTAATAACCAACAAAAGATTGAATACTGCTTTGTCAAAATATAATGGTGGCATGGTTTCCTCGGCACAATACTAGGCCGTATTCTGTGGCACGAAAAGTCGCTTAGAAAACGAATTCCGTTGCCCGGGTTCGGGCACTACTTTGAAACAAGATAAATAATTAGGATAAATTATACAAAGTCCAAATCCGCTTGTTTGCACT